ACGGGGGGAGAAAAAAAAAAGAGGAAAGGGGGGGGGGGGGGGGGGGGGGGTAACACGTGGTCACCGGAGTGATGAAGAATCGTCTTGGTTATCCGAGTTGAACGAAGGCTGTACGTTGCTGCTGCGCCGCATTCAACCTCCCTGTGTGGTGTGTTGCACCTTGGTAAAGTTTTCGGTGTTTGTGCGAGCGGTGTTTCGTTTCTTCTTTTTTTGTGGTCGTGTCTTGTCTTGTCTCGTCTTTGTGCATTACTACCATAGTCCAGCGAACAAGTGGCAGTTGCGTGGAGGAAACAAGGCGTGCTCGACAGGGGATTTTTCGGAATTTTCGGGGGGGGAGGGGGGGGTTACATCCACATCGCTAATCATGTTTCATTCGTGGGGGGCCTTGGGACGGTGACCGAGGGCATGTCTTCGAAAAATTGAAAAGTTCGAGTGGGATTGCTGCTGCGTTAATACTCGTCTTCTGAGTTTTCTGACGGCGTGTGCCGGTCAGGTCTTATTTCCTGTTGGACGTCGTGTCAAGGCAATTACTGCTGCTGTCGCTCTTTGTGGGGTGTTTTTTTATTGACGGCGGACGACCCGCCTCGTGATATTTCGTCAAGGATGTCGATGTCGGGTTGTGTTGTGTTGTGTTTGGTGGACTATTGACCGGTTCCAGCATGGAATGGTCTTTGTTGGAGGAATTGATAGATGAGTGCTTTGCGCTGAAGTTTGAGTGTAAGGTCGGGCGCGACGGTAACGATTGGCCGTGTTAGGTTGGTATCGGGTTGTTTTTTATCCCTCCCTCGACCTGTATTTCGTGCACGTGATCTAGCAACAAGCACCACCACGGCCGCCGTAGATCCATACTGCAATCACCACACAAAGCACGACTTCATTAGTGATTCCTCGGGCTATTGTAATCAATTTTGCTTGTGGGAAGGGGGGGGGTGAGTTTGGGGGTCCTTTTTTTTTTTTTGCATTTCCCCACCATTTTTTGTCGTCACGAGGGCCTTCGAAACAGGCATGATACATGCGAACACTTCCGGGTGAGTACGACGACACAACCAGCTCTGCTACATACGCCATATCCAAACGGACGGCAGCGGCAGCGAGTATATGAGCCAAGGCAAAAGCCGCATGCAAAACGAGTCCCGTTCTCAAGGCTGAGCCGGGTCGAACAAGAATACTGACGGATCCCCTCGTTGAAAAAATTGGAGCGAAATGACCCCGAATCGTGTGGCGAATTGCCTGTGATTTTGCGATCCACGATAAACTGGCGATGTAGGCTGCGATACATAGCAGGTGGTCATTGGGCCCTGCGCGCGACATCACAGCAGAGCAGCAGCTACATTCGGCACGAAGGCAATGATGATGAGGCGCTCAGGCGAGCGCAATGGAGGTTGTGGGTACGATGGCGCCGACTACGACGGATGTGACAGCGGTTACATTTCTACGGTTTAGCGATGGTTACTAGGGACGGAACGAACGGCGGTCTGACGTCACCCTGAACACGGACGTGGCCTGTTTCAAACAATCGTGCGTAACAGTATCTCCACGCCCCATTCGGTAAACCGGGACTACGCACGCCTCTAAATAAACACGAAACATCGTGCACAGCACTAGAGCGGCACCAGCCCGAAAAATGGGGTAACTTGGAGTGTACGGGGTGGTGACCCGAAGCGTTTTCCCCCCGACAGATCGCAAAGCGCTTGTCTGCGCATTGGCCCAATCGGCCTCACTAGCTCCCGCGGGAGACGAGAGAAACAAGAAGCATGCCACAACGGCCCGACTGGGCGCCGCCCATTCCTCGGCAGTAAGCAGATATTTCTCCGTGGCTGTGTACACCGTTTTAGAGGTGCCAAAGTTAGCCTTGATAAGAGCAAAACACCGATGTAACCATGGCAACACCCACTCGCAAGTCGAGACCGCCAACCTACTTCGTGACGGCCCATCCGCAACACGCGCAAGCATGCCGGCGCCGATGAAAAAAATACAAAGCACCGCGAAAACGGCTTGGGGGCTATTTGAACAGATGGAGCATGGTATGAAAGATACCCTGCCAGAACGCGAAGAGCGAATCGCTGGCACAAGCCGTCTTGCGCGCAAATGACGCGAACCACAAGTCTATGCTTGGCCAGCGAATGGCAACGCCGTTGAGGTGGTGAGTTGCCAGAACATCAGTACACGAGAGAGAGAGAGATAGAGAGCACAGCATTCGCATCACGACCTTGGTCCCAACAATTAACCAACCCGGCAAACAACAGAGGTCGTGCACCTTCTACATATGAAAAAAAACATTTCCCCCTTTCCATCATCAAGCGTGACGCCGCAGCCGCTTTCGAGGTGGCGGCGGCGACAGAGAAGAAACTACATACATGGCCGACCAAGTACTCCTGAAAAGAATTCCGGCAAGAGTCTAAAAGAGAGAGGGGGGAGGGTAAAATTTTGGCCATTAAGAAGACTGCGTGATGAACCAACCTCTCTACCAAGTGTTGTGTCGCGAATTGTTTTTCTTGTTTTTCCCAGCTTTGCCCTTGGGCTTCTTGGGCCCGGGCGTGGATTCCCCCGGCACGGCCGCCTCCGGCCCTTCTCCCCATCTCGCCTCCGCTGGGCCATCTCCGTGGCTAGCGTTGCTGCCACCGCCTCCGCTCCTCCTCTTCTTCCCGGCTCCCGCTCCGGCCCCCGTGGCACCCGCAACAAAGGCGGCGCCGGCGCTGGTGCCGGCGGTGAGCTTCCGTTTGGCATTTCTCCCGCCGCGTTTGCTCCCGGGCGTGGCCGCGAGCAACGGCTTTTGTCCCGTGCCCCCATTAACCGGTAACGGGGTATTTTCCGGCGCCTCCGCCTCCGCCTCCGCCGCCGCCGTCGCCGCCGCCCCGGCCGCCTGCGCGCTGAAGTCCTCCGGTTGCCCCGCTGGGTTGGCCCGGCCGATGCCTGCGGATGCGCGCTTCTGCTGCGCGCTCTTGGGATCGGTTCCCTTGGCGTTTTGCCAGACGCTGTCGCCCGAGAGAGCGGCGTTGATGAAGCGCCGGCTAGCATCCTGGTCGACCTTAAGGGTGCGCTGCTCCGGCGGCTTGCCCACGTTCTTCAGCCGCCCGAAGTACCCGCTATGTTTCGATGCCGTTGGTGGGTGGAAGATGATGAAAGTTGAGAGAGAAAGAAAGAAAGAAAGAAAAAGGCAAACAGACCCACAGTCCGATAGACAGACAGACAGACATGTCAATAGGTTAACAGGTTCGGCGGTGACGGTGGCAGAACAAAATTGCGAAGGCGAGAGAACCGGGTATGTCAACAGCAAACAACTGGGTACCGGTAGTGTAGGCGCGGAACGGTCACGAGCAAGTCGTCAAAAATGAAGTGTGGAACAGGGGGTAAAAAAATATACGGGGAAAGTTCTTCCCTGTCTTGTGCCGATCTCTCTTTCTGTGCTCCCCCCTCCGTCTCCACCATCCTGCGCCGGACTCATCCTGCCCTGGTTATCGTCACTGCTGCCCTTCGTCCTCTTTCTCACCGTATACGGTCCAGCTCGCCCTTGACCGGGTGGGTGGAGGGCGACACTCCCTGCGTCTTCAGAAACATGTAGAAGAGGGAGCTCACCCCGTAAGCAACCTGTATGTCGAAAAGTACGGAAATATATATCGGTTCGCTTTCTGTCGCAACTCGTTGAAATGGCGATCAATGGTTGTGGGGCCAGTGCGACCGCCAACATTTGAGCAGCCTCACGCGGACACCATGCATGCGTGACTGCTGCTGTCGTCAAAATGCGCGGCCATCCCTTCGCCAGCTGTCGTCAAAATGCGCTGTCATTCCTTCGCCAGATGTTTAGGGAGTACGGTGTCTAGATAATGCTTTCGATGCCAAATACTGGGCGCAAATATTTAATACTTCTATTTGGCAACAAAAGCTGACAGCGAGGAATGGACAGCCGTAGCCAATGTAGCCAGAGCCGAAAAAAAGCAAAAGCTTGAGCTCCAGGTGGTATTCAGCCAACCGCATGATACGCATAGCACCACCCAGTAGCAGCGGATTGCTGCGGATAGAGCGTGAGCGCTGACTGTGCGGCGTAGCTCGGTTCGCCGCCTTGTGGCGGGAGCCGTGCGTCTGTAGCTTGCCTGTAAGTTGAGCGTGGCACGATCCTTAGCGCTGACGCAGCCGCCCACCTCCTCCCGGCTCATGAGGGTCAAAGGCCTCACACTTTAGGGCGTGTGTTTGGTGGTTGCAGGAGCAGAGGACAGCGCGAGTTTCAGATCCAGAGCGGGGCAGGACAGCGGCGAACACGCGGAGGGAGGAGATTTGGGGGGGGGGGGAGTTCGGCCAATTGGGTCAATATACATAGGTAGGAGCGGGAGCGGCCAGACCACCAGAGCGACATGAGGTTGACAACAATCTGAGGCGAAAATCCTGTGCCTTGAGCAGACAGAGCAGCCCGGTCGTCACTTCTTTCTTTATCATGTCAGACGTGCGCACGAGACGGATGCAGAAGCTGTATCCCGGACCTCCCCTTCGTTCGTGGTTAGTGGTACAGTATCTACAACCTCATTGACATACAACGAAACGGGTCGAGGGCCGATGTCGTCAGGCGGCCAGCCACATCTCGTCGGAAGGGAAATCAATTCAACGCATAGCAGATCGTTCGTTTCGCGCTGCTGTCGGCTTAAACATTTCCCGTCTTCCCTGTTGTTCTTCACCTCCCTTGCGCCACAAACACGCACCGCGCTGCAGCAGTTACGGCCTCGTTGCTGAAACCTACTGCTGTAAGTACCTGTAGGAGAGGGACCACCCACCACCAACACTCTCATGGCAAAGAGTCTCACCTGTTGCGCACATGCCCCAGGGCGCGTTCGAAGTTCTTCAGCGATTCCACGCCTTTAGACTCTTCACTAGCTCCCGCCATAGCCCGGCTCGGCACTCCACAAGCCCAGGTATCACTGCACAAGGTCCCTCTCTCCCCTTTCGCCCTTCGCCCTCCTCCTCTCTGGGGGATGCGGCGAGACTACGGAGAACGCGGCGGGATAACCAATCGTAGATCGTATAGACCGTAGATCGTAGATGGTCGACCTGCGAATAGGGAATAGGACAAATAGGACAATCTCCCCTCATCATTGATGGCTCTTTGACTTTTCACGCAACAACCCGGCCAAAAAGGGTTGCTGTACGGTCAGCAACCATCCCAAGCACGCAAGCAGAGCAGGGCGGCGAACACACACACTCTCGCAAGAGGATGCCTAGCAGCCGCGACCGCTTCGACCTTCGGCGGGACCATGGCTTCAGGAACCCCCCTTTTCCGCCACCATTCTGTTTCCCCGGTAAGCGCGAGTTGGTGAGATTCGGGGGCTGTGCCTTTTAGCTCTTTCGTCATCGATATATCGACGAGGCCGGCTTGACTCACACACATCCAGGCTGGGAGCAGCAGCAACGCGACCCCCGTGACCTGCAGTTTTAGGGTCTCTGGCTAGCCCTGTTGTCGCTGCAAGTTTCCGTGACCAAGTTATTTGTTACGGTATCTGTAAAACTGACGACAAAGAGTTTTTCTGCACATCAGCATGTGTTGCAGCAAGGGATAACTAGCGTCTACATTCTACATTTGTTTTACCACGTGTTGCAGGCGGGTTTGTTGCACACGACCCAAGTTGATGATCCACCTCTTTTGGCTACTGCTGTGCCCTCCACCTTGTCGCGCGGGCGGACACCGCCCCCACTGCTGGCGATGCTCCCTGCTTCTGATCGTCGTTGGCGAAACAGCTCTATTGTTTTGTTTCTGGTAGCCATCGAGTTCGTTCCAAAATCACGAACATGGTACATGACCACAGGGAAAAACATTGGCGCAAAAAAAAATGCGCCAGCAGAGCAGGAACGTGGAGAAACATTAACATTTGTGGCAAAAGATGCTCTGAGTTGTAGATATTAGATCCGAATCAAAAGCCCACAAGCAGCTCCACGTAGAATCCAGCAGGCCTTTGAAGATGTAGTGCATGCTTGTTTCGCCACTCACTAAAAAGGCTTCAGTGCAAACTTCGATTGGGGCAATATCTCGAACGATCGTCTTTCTGCGGTAGTAGTGCCGGTACGCATCTACTGCTCTACGTGAAAATTACAATCTCCATGGATGACCCATCCGGGCTTTTATGTTTATGCAAATCATACGGCAAACAGTATACACCGACAGAGCTTACAGGTGTGCGTTCAAGCTGGCGCGCAGATTATTACATGGATGGGACGAAAACCACACACACACACACACACACACAACGCATCATTGTAGACTATGTAGCATTATTATAGCTGTAGCCAAACGCTCCATTCCAACAGACACTAATGAAGCGGTGACCTTGACGTTCATCGCCATGAGATCTAACAGTTATATGTAGGAAGCGTGTGGGTGCGTTTTAGGCGTACCACGTTGTTGTTGTGGAGGTCCCCTCCCTTCACAAGTGTTTTTTTTTTCTTGGTTTGCACCGGCGGCAACTGTTGCCCTGTTGTCCATGGGCCAACAGTCAACAGACACACACGCTGGCCTCACTCCGAGCGTGGACGAAAAATGCTTGCTTGTGATGAGAATACTTGTGATGATTGAGTGATGAGAAGGGTGTAGGGAAGGGAAGCCGTGTTTCGTACGCCATGTCCGTGTCGTGTGTGGTCCCATGACCTCGACGAACCCCCTTGCAACCAAGTACAACAAAATAAAAACTGGTTTGCGTTCAAAAGAGGGTACTCAATCAAGCACAGGTGCGACGACCACTGGTTCTGGTGTGTGCGGAGAGATTTCAACAGCCAACCCCTCACTGCTCACAACTTCATAGCATCGGAACGTTTGTTCGCCAAC